TTTCCCCCCACATATATAGGGGGAAACTCCCTACTGCGGTCATAGGTATATCCCACTCCTAATTCCCTCCTTCCTCCATCATACTCTTTCGTGCCCCTTCCACCATCCCTTCTCCAATTTTTGGCCCGTCCCCTCCATCAGAAGCCTCTAATCCCCCTCCTCTCGGAATCCTAGAGGGGGCACTTTTGTAGGTAGATGATGTCTTCTTCGTTGTCTTCTCGCTCGATCTCCTTCCCCTTTGATCTGGCCAAGCATTCTCTGATCAACCATTGGTTAGGGTTAGCAGTTGGAACGATCAGCATGGCCTTGGATTGCATCTCTATGAGTTTTTTCATCATTTCCCACTCCCACACTTCCTCTATGCGTTCAAATCCATCATTCATTCAAATTTCAATAGAAGAAAATCTGTCCTCCATGGTAGCAAACCATTCTTCCATTCCAGATCGAATTTGCTCCACCTCTCCTTCTAGCACATCAACTTTCTTTGATGTCATCTCATCAAGATCTATGTTTTGATACCAATTTGATAATACGCCTCAACACAAAAATTAGTGAACAAACCACGAAGAAATCACAATAGATAGGTGAAAAAACTTGTTCTTACAACAATTAAAGGAAAAACAAGCAATATACAAAATATGATTTACTTTCGAGAGGTATATCAGCTCTCCTACACCCTAGACACGCTATGAACACCACCAAAAGAAGAAAAAACAAGCAGTCACAAAATAATGCATAGCCCACAACAAACCCTAGGTTCCTCTCCTTAATAGAATCCTCCCAAAGCATTTGAATATTTTCCTTATAAACTTCCCTCAATTTTTCCTCCTTGAATATGTGATTATGGCCCGCGTGGACCCCAGTCTATCCCAACCTCCGCTTGCAGCAGAGTGTCGCCCCGCCTCTTCGTTCACGTAGGATCTGCCCGCCAGTTGGTTTGGCAGGCCGGTGGGGAAGCATTTGACCGGTCCCTCCTGGACCGGTCCCATGAGCGTCGTAATCATCAATCACATCACATCCTAATTAAAAGATTTGGCATCCTAATAGATCTTACCACCCATCTTTATAATGTCCAAAAATCTAGGCTATCATCTCCTCTAATGCTTAGCCACTTCAACACATTAATCTACAACAACCTGACCCCCATCAACATCCAAATCCCCGGTTAAAACATTTTGGCGGCATTCTCTTCATTATGCATTTTCTTACCCTTAGCCTCCTCTGATTGCCACTTCCCACTACTGCATAGCATGTGATCGTCCTCCAACTTGATCATAATGCCCCCAAGGCAAGAAGGAAATGAAGGCTGGGTCGCGAGATGATGAAGAGGCCAAGCTGGAATAAAAATTGTGTTGAATCCAAATATGATTACATTTACTAAATCATAATAAATCTCACAACAAAATTTAACTCAGCAGTAAATTTATTTGGAAACATTTAACACATATCCTTGATAATATTTGAAAAATCCAATAACTGAACCACCCTTGAGGATTTATCTTGGATTTTAGCATGTAAGCCTTTACTTAGCAAAGTAGACAAGACAATTCTTCTCTTGCATGATTGCTCATTGCACTCTTCATGATAAGCTATGATTCCTGATTGAAGCTCATTCGTATTACTTTCTCAGTATTTCTTCATGATTCTCTCCACTGAAACAAGTAATTATGTAGGTTTTGATGGCCCTCAAGAATTGTTCACGGGTTAGCGACAATGATGGGAACACAATTGGACTACAAAGCTACTCATCTGTTTAGCATGGACATGTGATTGGACCATGATACTGCACCATGAAAATCGACACAAAACTAGCCTTAGGCAATTACATCCTCTCGTAAATGACTAGCACATAATTCAATTATAATCCTATCATGGATAGGTGTCGACCCTGTCAAGACAATAAAAATATATATATACCTATATGATTCACATCCATGATTCATCCTTATAAATGTCTTTCAGATAACTTACTGAATGTTTTGAAGCATGCATATCGATTCTTTTTCATTAATTATTTATTATATTTAGACCCCATTCGGGGCAGCTTATTTGGTGCATTTACGTTTTGAAAACGCATCCAAGGCATTTTTTTAGTGTGTTTTCCTATTTATCTGAAAATGACATTTGGATTTTATAATAAACGCGGTTGCGGGATAGATCACGCGGCCAGCGTTCTTACCTACGCTTTTTACCCGCTTGCCGTTCGTTCCTCGCTCAACCCCAGTTCTGCCCTAAGTGACTATTCGCTCGCTTCTCTCCCTCAAATGCTCCTATATCGCGATTAGTGGTGCCTTTCACCTTTTTGTAAGTTTTGAGTGATTGTGTGTGATGTAGATATTGAATGTTTTATGCTCTTTATTTTATGTTTCATTAGTTATTGATATTTTAGATATTGTAAGTTTTATGTTGCTTGTAATTTTTTTTTCCTTTTTCGATTCAATTTCATATTTTTTTGTGATTTTGGGAGGTCCATGATGAGATTTCTGACCTTGTGGGTTTTCTTAGATGATCTGTTAGTCGTTGTTGGTTGGTGTCACATGTGAAATTTCGATAAAGTCAACCAAGTTCCTCTCTTTTTTTGATGTCGGGGTTTTTGAAGTAATTATGGATGGTATTTTTTTGACACGCACGAACTTGGTATTAAGTGAGCTAAAGGCAACCGAGAACCCCTGTTTTATAAAGTCTGTTGTCTTTTTGTTGTGACAGGTTCGGTGGAGTTGATATACTTAGTTTTCTGAGACCTCGTGCCCTTACAAAACTGTAATTGATTACTATTTTTGTCAATTTATATTTGTGTTATAACTAAAGGACTGTCTTCTGAAACATTCAGGGAATATGAGCTCTAGGATTTCACGGACCTCCCAATGAGTGTTCTGTCACTGCGATCTACAAACTTCATTACTGACGTCACGTCGGGCACATAGCTACGGGAGACAGTTCTACATTAACCACAAAGAATCAAGGAGAAGTATGACTTCTTCTGGTAGGTAGACACTCCAGCAGATTCCATTGTTATCGCTGGAGAACCATTTAGCTTGTGACATACACCGTATGCATTTTAAAATTAATATTATTATATTTTTAGTTATAATTTTAATAGTTATTTTATTCTTTTAGCAATCTTGATATTCATTGTTAAGTAAGAAGTGTATCTTATTTTTTTTGTATTGTTCTGAAGTGATTTTTTGTTTCACAAGTATCAAATATATTGTTACAGTAATGTTTCGAACAGCATTACTGCACAGAAGCAAAATGATCATTTATTCAGAAATAACTGCAAAACAGCTATTTTTTAACAGCACAAACTAAACAGTCAATCAGCTCATCCGGATCAGCTGCTGCTCGACAGCTTATCTAAATCAGTTGTTTATCAGCAGTTTATTAATAAATTACAACTGCCCCAAACAGAGCCTTAATTTTGTGTTATCTAGTGAACTTTATGATCATCCTTATTATTTTCATGATAACCTTTTACAAATAAACTCGAGTGAAAACTAGTGGATGAGCAAATTGAGGAGGTTTTCTATTATGATCCGAAAGAGCCTGGTAGATTATATTGTAGCATTATATTATATGATATTTTGTTGGAGCAACTATAATGACTGCTAAAAGGAGTGGATGTATTTACGTAACAAAACTATGTAAATCTTTTGTTAGTGAATAAAAAAGTTCTTTCAAGTTTCCTTAATGGCTTTGTAATACTGATAGAAGATGATTCATTGAACTATAATGTTTACTACTTTGATGCTCATTGTATTTTGGAAATGAGCTTTACTTCAGATTCATCTTCTGCTCTATGTTAGTTTGTATGTTTCACTATAGTATAGGGATTGTAATAATCAAGTTATCAACTGCGCTTTAAAGCATAACCTTTTATGGTGAACCTAGATCTATTCTTGAATAGCTAAATTTTGGCCAAGTCGTGCTTCTAAGCCATCATCAGTCATGTTCAACACCTCAAAACCATGATCATTCATACTTCATGCCTATGAGTCATTTCAATATGAATCAATCATGATTTAAGCCATCATCATTCAAATCTGTATGATTTGAACTAATATCCCTAATGATTATCACCTCTAAGTCTTGCTAATCCAAAGCAATCATACAAGAATGTGTCCATCAACATACAATCACTCATTAAGTTTAAGATACTTAAAAGTACATAACTCGTGACAATTAATTAAGCTCCCTATAAATTTGGCCCAAAACCTTCTGACATTGGTAGGTTGATCTATAATGTCCTGAGGCAATAGAATATGATCTTAATCAAAATGATCACCCGTTCACTCAATTTTCTTCAAAACAACTTTCAACTTAAATCATAATTAATTTCCTTATCAAGCTTCAAGGGTGCGGGTGCTCTTTATTTATAGAATAAAATTTAATTAAACATGAGGACTACTACTCATGAGAATCTCGATCACAATATCTTAAAATAAATCATGTCAAAAGGTGGAGAAAACTTCTAGGAAATTCAGCTCACCCTAAAATCCCATAATGAGCTTTCCGTTTTCGCCACTCTATCAAAAAAATAAGACGGTTCAAAATCAATTAATTTGATCGCTTAATCCCTTAATGATAGGATTTGCAAAATGTAAATGATTCTTCAATTGGTATTCTTTGAAATGCATGGTCAGATTGACAATCACTTCAAAAAAATTGAAAAGTAATCAAAGAGAGTGAAAAATATGATTGCCCTGAATGTAATTACTTCATTTCATGGGAAACCTCAATTGTTTTCACCTGTGGTGGATAAATTCCCCTAAGCATACACATTTATCCTATAATCATCTATAGAAACCAGCTTGATACAACTTTACCGACAAGAAAATCGAAGTTCACAATGAGATTATTCTTACATTTGGAAGATGACTGCAACAAATTATCAAAAGAAACAAGAAAAAAATGAAGAAACCGGGCATTAGATTCGGACAAAATCCATGGAATGGCACACGATTTCGTGGGTTAAGGGAATGTCGGGATGGAGAAGGGCTTACAATCGAGCTTGAGAGATTGAAAGGGGATGGAGTTGCCCAGAATAGCTCTCACTTCTTCCAACTTTTTAGCATTTCCAGTAACGAAAGTTACCGGGCGTGTGAGCACTTGCATCGCTCCTTCGCTTCCCGACGACGACGACGACGACGACGACGACGACGGCTGAGTGGGGTCAAGGGCAGGCAAGGGCCGCGACTCATCGTACATCGTATTTAAAAGGGGCTGTTAGTGCATTTAAATAAGTAGCGTCATAAACTCTGTAAATCAAAAACGGGCAGATTTGCAAGCACAACACCCAATTAAGAAGATTTGCAATCAATTTTTATATATTTCTCATCTTATTTAACCATGAAAATTTTATTTTATTTTTAAAATTTTAAATTAAAATAATAATATTTTTAATGTAATATAAAAAATTTAAGTGTATAAATATAAAAATCAAAGCTTAGACATTATATATGTAAATACTTAAGAATGAGTGATGTGTACCTAAATGCCCCTAATTCTAAAGTATTTATAATTCTAACACCAAACTTTCATATTTAATTTGCACACCACAAAAACTTCTCAGAAAACGACAGCTTCAAACTGTAATCTTATGTATATATAAGAAGACTATTAGTTAATTTCATTTTATTTTATAATGTAAATATGTGATATAAAATATAAATAATGCATAAAAATGTGTTAGGGTGCTTTTACTTTTATACAATCAATATTATTTTTTACATATAAATATTTAGTTAAATTTTTGGGCATTTACATTCAAGCCACACAATTCTTGTATTTTTACATTTCAAAAATCTAAACTTTCAAATTTACATGCATAATTCAAATCCTTGCCATCAAACTAAAGATTTCATTGTTACTAAACTTTTAGAAGTGAAACACATTCTTTTATATATAATTTTTTAACACAAAAGTGTCATAAATATTTTACATAAAAAGTTATCTGCACTGATTTTATAGAGGTCTAATGTACAAGAAGAGAATAATACAATGGAAGAATATCCCTTGCAAAGATATCGTGAGGCGTACCAAGCCGAATCAACCAAGTCAACTACGCCAAGTCGACCGAATCAATAACTAGACAAAAAAACAACTAAGCGACTCAGGTATAAGCCATTTGACTGGCAACGAGACAAGAGAGTGTTTGAACTTTCAACTGCATGAAAGTCAACTCGATAGCTTAGCCTATCCTACAGCAAAGCCAATCCAATGGAAGAGCCAACTCCACAAAAAATCTTCAACTATCTAATGGAGATCGAAAGATTCCTTCCCAAAGATTGAAGATAATCAACCAGATAGATCAGATGATCAAACCCTACCGACCAAGCTCGATCAATCGAGTCGAATCAATCACGTCAGATCAACAAAACTTAGTCGGTCGAACCAAAAGGTAACCATACGGTAAGTTGTCACTCGTAAAATAACAAAAAAGCCCCAAACAAAACCTCTTGAAATTGCCCAAATTGGGGTAAAAATGTAATATCATTATTGCACTACATTTTCCATAAATTTGGAAGGATTTAATGAAGGGAAAACACCATTTCTACTATCAATCTATCTCTTTCTCTCTTTTCATTAATGTTTTATTTCTTAGGTACGATTCACGAACAATTTTGAATTCATCCTAAAAAGTGCAGTGAGCATTGATCATGTCATCAATAAAAAAAAAGCAAGAAGAATGGCCTCACTATAAGGATACAAAAGTGCACCAGGGAGTTTATGGTCAGCAGATCCAAGATCTGAAGGATCAAGTGTTACATATGATTAGAGGCATGCAAAATTGAGAGCAAAATCTACAACCCAAACATGAAGTTCTGGCATTGAAAGACAGAAGAGTAGCCCCAACCTTGGAGAGGGAGGATGACACTGAGTACCTTGAAAATGTTCTGTCGGTCAGCATTGTCTTACGCATACTAATGCACTATGCCAACCAAAAAATGTATTCTCTGAGAAAATCACCGGCGCTGAGCCACTAAAATGATTCAAGACCCCAACAATTGAATATTATAAAGTACAGATGGACCTAGCTAACCACATTGCTTCTTTCGAGTCAATTATTTGCCTTCTCAAGATCAACAACGTGCATAAGTGACTATTTTTCATCATGCTAAAGGACTAAACCGTTAAGAGAATTAATGGATTGTCTTCATGACAAAGATGTCATTCATAGATTTTAAGTGAATGTTCATTCCACGGTTCGCTAATGCTCAAAAACCCCAGAAGAGCTCGCAAGCTCTTCTATAGATTCACCAAGGACAGTGTGAACTTACATAACCCAAATGACATTCTTCTAAAAGTAAAAGTACCATAAATAATTGTGAATATAGTCTTTTCTTGATCCTCGGGAGCTATAAATATTTGATGATATCCAGAATATCTATCTAGAAAGCAAAATTATTGATGAAGACCTATCCTATTCAACATCTGATCCAAAAAGTGTGAAGGAAAGTGATCATTCCTAGTTGTTGAATTCAATTTCTTGTAGTCAATACAAATTTGTCATCCAGTTACATTTCTAGCATACATTAGTTCATTATGTTCATTTATAGATATTGTCACTCTCCTTTTCTTAGGAACACAGTGAATAGAGCTAACTCAAGCACTGATTGATATAAGATAGATAATACCTGCTTCCAACCACTTCAATATTTCCTTTTTCACAATAACTTTCATAATTTGATTTCGTCTCCTTTGAAGATCTGTCTGGGGTTTATGATTATCTTCCATCAGGATCCTATGCATATAAATAAAGGCCCTAATTCCTTTAATATATGCTAAGGTCCATCCAAAAGCTTTCTTATAATTCCTCAAAATTTTCATTAATTTTTCCTCTTGCAAATGAGTCAAATCTGAGGGTATGATAACTGGTAATGTAAATAACTTCCCTAAGTAAGCATATTTTAAGTGTGTAGGAAGCACCTTCATCTCATGTTCAGGGGGTTCATGATCCGGAAAATATAGTTGTGTAAAACTTATAAAAACGATGCCAAAAACTTGATGTGTTATTTTATGAATAAGAAATTTAAGCAATTTATGTCGGGATTCTACGTAAGTGTACGTATCGTTATCGAGTAATATAAGACTTTCTATTTAAGCCCCAAATATCGACCCACGAGAAAGTTTTAAATTTTGAAATGATAAATTAACTAGAAAATTCATAGAAAAAAATGAAATTACTATCACTAATTTTGAATTGATTGAGATAATATCATAACTAAATTATTAACTACTAGCAAAACTAAAATGCAAAGTTTAAACAGTAACTACTAAACTATGTTTTATGTGAAAAAGTTTTCTAATATGAAAAAACATCTTTCCCACTATAATGAGTTTTTTGGTAAAATGAGATAAGATAAATGGTTTAAATAGGTATTGTGTCAAATAGGAGCAATTTTTAATTCTCTACCCTGATTCAGTGCTATAGAAAATCATTGGCTAATCTCAGTTTTAGTCCCTAAATCTGTGGTTAAGCTAGAAGATACTGGCTCTCACTCCAGAGCTCCCACTTTCATTCCCCTGAAGGCTAACGCTCGCTTTAGTTCTTAAACATTAAGACCAAATTGGGGATTTTAGTCTGTCGCCTTAAAATCTTCAATTCTACACCCAACAAAGTATATTTCTCTATTTATTTGCACTTAATTCCATCAATGAAATACTCCTTCATGGAATTAAATGTGATTCTCACTCTTGTTGTATAACTCATACTCTATTTCTCATATCATACGTTTGACAACAAATTTTAACAAAGCAATTGACCAGATCAAAAAGTAAATTAAGAACAGAGTTGAAAAACCATCACAATTTATTTTATATTTTAAAATTGGCACATACAAATTATCTCTTCATTTCACCATATCTCAAAGTAGGGAGAAAGATAAATGAAACTACTCAGGCTTCATAAGAAATATACAACAAAACATAAATTTCACATATAAAAGAAAGTTCATACAACAATAATAAATAAACAAGACTTATCTGAAACTCTTTCTTAAAGCAAATCCCTTATAACCTCCCTTAGAAGATGTAGGAAGAAGAAATTTCTCACTTCTCTCCCTTTCTAACACTCTTAGAGAAGAATTCACACTTAAACTCACTACAAAAACTCAAAAATCTAAAGAAATAAATGACTAATTGACTCTAAGTGGCTGTGGAGAATGTGGAATAATGAGGAAGAGAGTGGAAAGCGGTCCAAAGGCGAAGGGGGCCTTTTCTGATCAATTTTTGCTCTAAATAGAGCCTAATGTCAGTTTTCCAATAGTTGCATCCAAAAACTCTTCAAAAAGCGTCCAAATTCGTTAAATCTTCTATAAACAAGTCTTGCACCGATATTGGCGCTGTCGGCGCCCATTCTGGCACTGAGGATAGTCCAACCTCTGTTCTGTAGGTCTGCGCCATCAGCGTCCATCCTGGCGCCATCGACGCTAAGTATTTCTTGAAAAACGTCATTTTGACTCCAAATTCTATCTTTTTTGCTTCAAGTCCTAAAAATTAATAACGTGCAATAAAACATGAAAAATATCTTCCTTTAAAATGCAATATCACCAAAAAATGAGTATAAAATACAGGTCAAAATATGCATATATTTTTTGAGTATCAAAATCCCCAAAACTTAAATGTTACTTGT